AGAAAGGGAGATAAACTAGTAACTGCTTAATTTATGCATCTGCTAATATCAGAAGCAGGAAAGATAAAGGCAGAGATGGAACAAGGCTTTGACACCGATGTTTTTACCTGGCGTACTGTATGCATAGATAACAGACGACAATCTCTATGGAAGAAGCCAGCGATGACCTCCCGGCATTCGTTAGGCATTCTTGCAATATTCCTATCACGGAATCGATGTGATTCATGGTTGTAAACATATCAGAGATAAGAATAACAAGACAGGAATGATCCCGTCCCTTCGCCTCTCCGTTGTTGGAGCGAATGGTTATAATTCAGCCAAAACGATAAATTAATTCGCGCATGTTCCTTTGCATGCGAAGTGAGGGGGGCATTCCCAAGCCATCAAATAAATTCTAGTGTAAATGTCATACTTGCCTTTAGCAATCCCCGGCAGGACCACGAAAGGAGAGCAACCCGCAAAAACTTGAAATCTATCGGTGAGAGAAAGGGTGAGCTAACTATGTGTATCAGTTCGAGTTACATACCTCGAAAGTCTGTCTTTTATGATGTCACCTCAATCTTGCACGGTCCGACTACCCAACGGCACATAAATGCTTAGAACTTTAATTAGGTGAAATGTCTAAGCTGCTCGTCCGTGGAAACTGCGCCATCAAAACTCCACATTCCTTGTTAAACTGAGTTTGTTATAATCTACTAAATAAACAATTCAGACGAGGGGTCATCCCGCCTTCACCTCCGCTGACACAGATCCACGTGGATCCGCCCCGCTATCACTGCTTTAGCCCTCCCACCAGGCACTCCCCGCGCAGCCCCGTTCGAAGCCCTGAGGTTCTTTTACCTCACTGTCATCTGAACCTAAGCTTCGTCACCACAAATGAACCCAAACAGCTATAAACAGTATCATACATTCTAGCAATTCTCTGCCTATGCCCTGATATGTATACAAAACATGTATTTGTAACAGGTGTATTATTATCATGTCTTTGAGGTGATGGTGTGGCACATGATCAGCAAGAACCAGATTTCATGTTACAGATATAAAGGAGGTCAGCTATATCCAGGCAAGGAACATAAGAGTTCTCGAAAAAATTAAAGATTTAATCTACATGATTAAACCTCAGCTGAAGACGAACACATAAATGTCTATACTGCTGAGTTTTATGGTTAATAAAGGTGTTTTATGATAAAGTTCTTCCCATCTTTGTATATTAGTGACGAAGTACAGTTATGTATGCATGGGAAAATCTAACTATGCATGTACGTTTATTGCCATAAGTTGTCCTAATTTTCTGTTGTGTGTAAGTTACAGTATGGACTGTGTACGTATGTATGTTTTTTTTATTAATAGTTATTATGATTAACATACTCTTACTACTACTACTACTACACTACTACTACTATTACTATTATATTATTTATTATTATTATTATTATTATATTATCATTATTATTATTATTATTATTATTATTATTATTATTATTATTATTATTATTATTATTATTATTATTATTATTATTATTATTATTATTATTATTATTATTTTATCATTATCATTATAATTATTTTATTATCATTATTATTATTATTATTTATTATTATCATATCATTATTGTTGTTATTATTATTGTTATTATTATTATATTTTTATTATCATTTTCATTATTATTATCCATCATCCTTATTTTCAGTATAGTTGTTATTATTATTGTTATTATTATCATCACTATCATTATTCTCATTATCATTATTAACATTATCATCACCATCATTATCATTATTTTCTATTATTGATATTTTCATTACTCCTATCATTATTGATGTTTATTATCATCATTACTTTTATTACTGTTATTATTATCATTATCATCATTTTTCTTTATCCCAATTATCATTTTCATTATTGTTGTAATTATCATTATTAATATCATCATTACCATTGTTATTTTGTTGCTCTTCTTATCATTATTATTTTCATCATAATCATAATTATGACCATCATCATCATCATCATTATTATTACCGTTGTGTCGTTCTTCTTCTTTTATTATTTTATTATTATTATTATTATTATTATTATTATTATTATTATTATTATTATTATTATTATCATTATTATTATTAATTATCTATATATTATTATTATTATTATTATTATTATTATTATTATTATTATTATTATTATTATTATTATGTTATTATTATTATCATTATTGTTATCTTATTATACTATTACAATTATTATTATTATCATTATTACTATTACAATTATTATCATTATTTTTGTTATTATTATTATTATCATTACTATTGCTGTGTTTGCTATCATCGTTACTATTATCATCAATCTTGTCATTATTATTATTGATAATATCATATAATTATCATTTTTACTGTCATCATTATTGTTGTTATTGTTATTACTATTTATGTCATTAGCATCGCATTATTATCAATAAGATCACTATTATTGGTATAATCATCATTTTTGCCATGATTAATATTACTATTATTATTGCTGTTATTGATATCATTATCATTATTTTTATTATCATCATTATCATTATTATTACTATCATTATCATCATTATTATTATCACTTTTTTATGATCATTATAATAATAATAGTAATAATAATAACTATTATTTTACTACTCTCATTGTTATCATTATTTTTGTTATTATTCTTATTATCATCATTCTCATTCTAAATATTGCTAATATGACCATTATCATCAATTTTACTATTACTATTATCATCTTTATTATTATCACCACAACATCTTCATCAACAGTGTTAGGATATGACAAGTAAAACCTTCTAAAAGCAAAACATATTACTTAATATTGCGCAAACTGTTGATATGTAGATACAGACGAGTATATATATATATATATTATATATATATATGATGTATGTATATATGTATTTATATATAAGTATAGATTTATAAAGTTAAAGAGATGATTTCGATCAATGGATCCCTGTCACCAATTTACAATAATCTCCATGGCCCCTTCAGTGTCTGTCATCTTTTCAAATTCAATTATTACTAGTTAAGAATAGTGTAATGGTGTTAGTAGGTATAGAGGAAGAAGACTTTATGGAAATATTCCTATTTTATTGTTGTGCGGGAGGTAATTATTGTAGTACTATTAGTGGATATAAATTCAGTTTAATTCGACGTCAAAATTTTCATATTGCTCCATGGACCCCAGAAAGTACCCCGATGACCCCTGGATGTCAATGGCCCCAGGTTGGGGCCTGATTTAGAAAATAGAAAAGATATATATATATATATATTATATATATATTATATATATAAATATATATATATATTATATAATATTATATATATATGTATATATATATATATATATATATATATATATATATATATATATAATATAATATAATTTTATATATATATATATATGTTATATATATATATATATAATATAATATATATATATATATATAGAGAGAGAGAGAGAGAGAGAAGAGAGAGAGAGAGAGAGAGAGAGAGAGAGGAGAGAGAGAGAGGAGAGAGAGAGAGAGAGAGAGGATAAGAGATTACATACGCATAGTTATAGATATATATAGAGATATGGATATAGACATGATAGAGACACGTAATAAAAGGCAGACATAAACATACAAAAATGTAGATACATAATATATATTTATGTGTGCGAGTGTGTGAGTGTAAGGTGACCGCTCGCATGTCAGGGAGAAAGAGCGAGAGATCAGCGTCGAAAAGAAACGGAGGGAAGGCGTGTCGCAACACAAAGAAGTGGTTGGAGTATAAACTTTCCTGGGAAAGATTTGGCGATGCAGACGGAGGCCGCTCCTGACAGATGACGCGAGAAAGGGACGGAGGAGAAACAGTTAAAGCGGAAATAAAAGTTGATGTCATATTTAGTTATGGGAGAAAGGGAGAGAGGAAGGAGAGAATGGATGATGTCGAGAAAAGACACGGATGAGAGAGTATCTGCATAAAAAAAAGATGTAGCAAAGCAGTATAGATGGCAGTGGGTGGGGGGGGGGGAGTTGTGGGTGGGAGGAGCGATCGTGAGGAGGAGAGATGGTGAAGAGAGAGAGAGGGAGAGAGGAGACAAAGCTCTAGCGGGGGTAGAGAGGAACAAGACGAACGGGTGGGAAGAGAAGCGGAAAGGAAGAAGAAATCAAGGAACGAAAAAAAAAAGAAGGGAGAAGAAGGCAGTAGCGAAGCAATATTGAGAGAAGAGGCGACGCAAGGGTCAGGTCAGAGAAGGAGGCTGGGTCACGGCGGCGTTGTGGGAAGGGATTACGGGTTCAAGGAGAGAACTTTAGTTGAATATTAAGAGAGATGCCCAAAGTTAGTCGCAGGATTATTAAACAAAACAGCAAGGAAAAGCTTAACAGGGAAACATATTGAAGTATCTTGAGATGTAAGGAAAGATCGAGTGAGGCGAAACCCGTTGACCTCTGACCCGTAGCAATAATCTTTCGGCAAGATCTAGCAGACGAGTGTTATTATAGATGTCATCATAACAGCGCTACGGCGTTCTCAGGGTATGCTTGTGTTGTGTGTTGTGAAATCTGGGAATCGTATTTGAGAGCTTTAAAACGCATGTACACACAGACAAACACACACAACACACATACAACCACCCACCCACACAAACAACCAAACAAACACAAATATCTATCAATCTGTCTACCTCCCTATCTATCTATCTATCAATACAAAGCGCATTTATATATATATATATATATATATATATATATATATATATATATATATATATATATATATAGTATTATATATATATAGTTGTATATCGTAATATCATCAGTTGCCAACGACATCTGATACGCCTTGCTATTGCTCAACGTGAAGAATATCCAAAAAGCAGACGTAAAAAAAACAGAAGACCTTCGCCTTGGTGTCGAGAGAGGCACTGTGAGAGGGAGTGTCTGGGAGGTATATAACTGGTGCCAGTCCTGCAGCGCACATTCTCCTGGGATATTATCGACGAAATGCTCAAGGTATGTTGCGTGTGTGTGTGTGCGCCGCTTGTAGCCTCACGGATAGAAATCATGATGCGGGGCCTATGTGGTGACGATACATGTTCTCCAGCGCAGGTGTCTCTGCTGGCTCATGTTGCTTGATGGTGATACATAAAGCGTTGCACTGGACGTAGTTAAGGATATGCTTTTGTGATAGATCGACAGTATTGCACACAGGGTGAGTGCGTAACCACACTTTACGTTATTTTAAACAAGGACGTGCGTTTATGGACACACTGGCCTGCGGAGTGGAAGACTAGGTGCCCACGTGGTTGTGTGGCGGACACTCGATGTGGCATCCAGGTGGTCGACAGTAATGATACATCCTAATGTGCATCCCATATATAGAGAGAAAATACACACACACACACACACACACACACACACACACACACACACACACCAATACACATACACACACATACATAATATTTATATAAATATATATATATAATATATATATATATATATATATACTATATAGACACCATATACATATATTATATATATATTTATTTATAATTATATACTAAATTATTATATATATATTATATATATATATATATATTATATAATATATTATATATATACACCTATATATATATATATATATATATATATATCTAGTATATATATATGTATATATATATTATATATATATGGATATATAAATAATGGTGTGTGGTTGTTGTGTGTGTGTGTGTGTCGATGATGTGTGTTGTGTGGTTAAGTGTGTGTTGTGTTGTGATGTGTGTGTGTGTGTTTGGGGGATTGTGTGTGGTATATGTCTTCCTGGGAAAGGTTTGGCGTAAATATAATTATAAGACACAATCACACGGAATATAAAGTTATCAACAACCCACACAATCACAGCATACCCGCAGGCACAAGGTTCTCATTTACACTTTAAGGATACAGTTCTACAACAACTGCTTATTCTAATATAAATCACTACATTCACCACGACCCACACAGAGATCAGATATTAACACCACCACAATCAGTAAGTGATAATTTCATTAATTATTATCTACACACACATAACTATATAACTATTATATAAATACTATTATATAATTATATTTACTATATATATAATTACATACATAATCACACACATATATACATAACAATCATACGTATCTTCTTTATATATGTTCTATATCTATATCTATATAGAATATATATATACACAATGGTTTCGTAGTTGCGTGTAAGCTCTCTTATATATATAATATATATATTATATATATTATATATATATATATATTAATATGTGTGTGATGTGTGTGTGTGATAGATAGATGTGTGTGTGCTGTGTTGTGATCGTGTGTGTGCTGTGTGTGCGGTGTCGTGTGTATGAATATTTCCTGATATAGTATGTTGTGTCTGGGCGTCGTGTGTATGTTCATATAATCCTTTTTTTATTATTTTAGAGACAGACAACACACACAAACAACAACACACTACATTATCATGCACACAGTGATACTGAATAGTCTCATATATATGTATTCGGTCCACTAATGTCAATATCACACACAGTAAGCAAAATCATATCTATACACACTTACATATCGTCACTACCACACACTCATTACTTATCTATAGTATACCTATAGATCATATATTTTCATATACTCACTAATAGATAGATATTATTTATTATGTACTCATATTATCATTCATTATTGCATACATAAATACTATAGCAATACATCATCCACACACACAACACAAATACCATTCATTACATCAATTTTATACATCAATCATATTTTCCATAATTCAAGAAGATTCCACACAACACACACACAACACCACACACACACACACACACAAGCACAAACAACACATCCACACGCAACATATACATCGCCCACACCTTTCAGCCCACTACCACACATAACCGGCACCACACACATAACACACAAACACCACATACACCATACAAACAAGCAATCACACCACAAACACACATACCCCACTACCAGCACACGACACCACACAGACACACACACTAACACACCCAACACCACACACACACACCACATCCTTGGGGGAACACCACACACACACACACACGCACATGGCAACACGCCACACACATACCTACACACACACACCACACGCACTCCAACACACAATGTTACTACACACAACAACGCACACACACACCACCACGCACCACACCTACACAAAAGAAAACAACACAACCACACAACACACACACAGATATATATATATAGGTTATTTATAATTATTACTAATTATATATATATTATATATATATATATGTTATATAATATAATATATATTATATAATATATATATATTATATTTACATACATACTATAATATAATATATTCTATATAAAGGTATTATAATATAAATATATAATTCTTTTATAGTAGAGGTTATAATATATATAATACATCACACCACA